AAAAAAAAAAAGAAAAGAAAAAAGAAAATGGACCACATTTAGTACTTGCTACTTTGCAGTTTATTTTTGCTGACAATTCTCAAGTTTTGCAAGTTTGGTCTTCCAAACCCCATAGCAGAGTGATCATTATCTTCCTGAGTCACTGTCATAAGGAAAATAGGGCAGGTCTCCCCACCTTGGTGCTGGGACATTGCTTGCTAGGTACCCAGCGACATAACCTTGCCCTATTTGAGTTTGTTAGAAAAATGTCTTGCTCTGCATAGTTTTCTGCACTCCCCATTGTTCTCAAAATCATGGAAAGATTAAAATTACATGAAAATCCTTACTGAGATATTTTTTTCCCCATGACACTTACATAGTGACACAAATACAGGTCTGAGATAGCCCCTTCATATTTTCCCCAAAGACTTCCAGGGGAGGACACGCCCCACTGTATTGTAATTACATGGTTGCTTTTCTGTGCCCCTCAGACCCCTGGGTGGCTCAGTCAGTTAAACAACTGCCTTGGGCTCAGGTCATGATCCCAGGGTCCTGGGATGAAGCCCCGTATCAGGCTCCCTGCTCAGCAGGAAGCCTGCTTCTCCCTCTCCCTCTGCAGCTCTCCCTGCTTGTGCTCTCTCTCTCTCTCTGTCAAATAAGTAAAATCTTAAAAAAAAAAAAGAAAAGGTAGGGGATAGAAAACTCCTTGGAGGTAGAGAACCATAATGGGTTCCCCTCTGTATCCCCATGACCTGCACATCGCCTGGAACATGGTAGCCTCTCAGTAAGTCTTTACTGATGCATCGATATTGAATATCTCTACCTGGAAGACTGTTATTCACATATACATGGTTGACCCTTGAACAACATGAGGGTCAGAGGCACAGACCCCCTATGCAATTGAAAATCCATGTATAACTTTTGATTCCCCGAAAACTTAACTACTAATAGCCTATTGTTGGTTGGAAGCCTTACTGATAACATAGCACATATTTTGTATATTATATGCATTATATACTGTATCCTTACAATAAAGCAAGCTAAAGAAAATGTTAAAATCATAAGGAAGAGAAAATACATTTACAGTACTATATTTTAAAAATCCATGTATAGTGGACCCATGTAGTTCAAATCTGTGTTGTTCAAGGGTCAATGGTACTTATTTTTTTTACTTTTTATATTTTACTTTTTTAATATTTATATTTCATATTTACTTTGTTTTTGTTTTGGTATAGTCTTTTTTTTCTTCTCCTTACTATATAGCTTTTGTTCTAGATTCCTGACCTTTAAAATCAGTAGACTTTTACACTAAAAGAGAAATCTTTGGATTTTATATCCTGTGGTTTTCTGAGAAACCACTAAAAGAAAAATTTCTTATGCAAATGATTTTCATGGGAGAAGTCCAGTTATTTTTCTCCTCTTTAGTAGTTCAAAATATTTTTCACACATTCCTTTATGCAATAGTTTCCTTCCAGGTGGACTTAACCCACTTCAAATGGGAAAATGTAGCACTAGGTCTGTGAGAGGGGGAGCAGAGTCAGAAAGCACCCGAATAATTATGCTTTGCATTTGTGTGCCGTGTGCCACCTTAGCATACATTATCATGTTCCAGTCCCACAGACATGATGTTAGATGAATTGCCCAGGCATGTACAGTAGCTTATCTCACTAGTGAAGAAATCGAATCCAAGAGGAAGGAAGGGATTTCTCCAAGCTTACCTGGCTAATTTCAACAATAGGTCAGCAACCTGCATCTTTCACCTCTTTGCAATGTGATGCACTTTGGACGATGCTATGAAACTCAATGTGTTGCTTCGGTGGCATTTTATAGACAAGAATAATAAACAGGGGGAAGAAACAGATGCAAAAATGAGAGCACTATAGTTACTACCTCTAAAGACACCAGACTGTGGAAGCATTGAGAAAGCACCTGGAAGAACTGAGCTGTATGGCAGTTGGAAAAATTAGTGCTGTTTCGCTTGGAGCAGAGGCGGGGGCGGGGAGCGGGGGGGGGGATTGTGTTCTCATAAGAGCATCTCATCAGAGAGTAAAGGATGCACTTTTCTACCATGTTTCGATTATTTAAGCTTCACCTCCTCACATTAGACCCACAAAATTCTAGGAGGCGTTCTCTCTCTAAGAATTTGATCTCTTCTCTGACAGCTCTGAGGCAGATGGCAGGAAGATGGGGTGGGGGTGGGTCCCCACGGAATACCTTACAATGTATACTAGAGCATCTAGTTCTCTATTTAAAGAGTGGAAATATATTTCCTCTTCTCAATAAGCTTTTAGGGGTGAAAAGCAAAGGGATTGATGAGGGAAAAAATTATTTCAAAAGGACTATCTGACCTTCTTGTAGCAACTTTATGTAGCCTTTTATAAAAAATAATATGACGGTCCCCTACTTCTAACAGTATGACTTAAGGTCTTTTGACTTCGTGATGGTGGGGAAGCCATGTGCATTCAGTAGAAGCCATACTTCAAACTTTGAATTTGAATCTTTTCCTAGGCTAGCAATATATGGTAGGATACTCTCTCATGATGCTGGGCAGGAGGCCACGGCTCCCAGGCAGCCCCGCCATCAGGAGGGTAAACAGCCAATACACTTACAACCACTCTAGACCCATTCAACCATTCTTTATTTTATTTTTTTTCTTTACTTTCAGTATAGTAGTCAATAAATTACGTGAGATATTCAACACCTTATTATAAAATAGGCTTTTTGTTAGATGATTCCGCCCAATTGTAGGTTAATATAAGTGTTCTGAGCATGTTTAAGGTAGGCTAGGCTAAGCTATGATGTTTGGTGGTTAGATGAATTAAATGCATTTTCAACTTATGATATTTTCAACTAGGATGGGTTTCTCAGGACATAACCTTACTGTAAGTCAAGGGATATCTATAACATAGTTTAAACAGCCTAAAGGATCATTTTGAATTTATTCTTATAATAATCTCCAACCATCCATAATAATATTCTGTTTTAGAAGTCAGTTAGTTAGTTACTCAGCCAACAAATATTAAGGATCCACTGTGTGTCAGGCTCTGTGGATGAATAATAAATGAATAAGGAATGACTGGTTGATGAATAAGATACAGATTTTGCCCTCCAAGGAACTCCCATTCTAGAAAGAGAAAGAAAATAAATTTGTAAACAAATTAGTAAAGATTATTCAAGGCTGAAAAGCTGAATTTCGTGGGGGACATTTTCATCTTGTGCTGAGCCTGAGCACATTTGGAGCCTCCTAGCGCCCAAATGGAGATGAGACTCTTCCCAAGACGACAGACCTGCACCTGCAGCTCTGTCTCTACCACGACTCTAGTCAAGAACAATGTCAAAAGTGAGAGATGGTTCTCATATTTAAGTGTGTATAGTTTCACCTGAGAAAGTCATGACCATATGCTGCTTTATTTTTATTCTAGGAATCTTGGAAAATCAGGACTCAGAGTTTCTTGCTTGGGTCTTGGTAAGTACCAGGGGTATCACGTGGGGGTGGATTGGGAGGTGGGAGATTGGGGAGAACACCAAGGTAGTGACTGGGATCAGGTTGAGACCCAGTCTCAGGTGAGGAGGGGCTTCCTGACCAGCATGGGCCCACTTCTCCTTCTGAGCCTTTCCTGCCCAACACAGCCCTCTCCCTCTCTACGCCCAAAGAGCCACTGTGCTCATGATGCCTTATGGGGCCCATCAAGCAGAAATAAATCTGATATTAAAGCACACCTTAGAGGAAGAAATTTATGTGTTACTCATGTGTAGCAAATGCGAAGAACCTCATTGTATGCATGTGTATGCTCACCTTACCTGTAGCTTCATCTGAGTTTTTTTTCTATCCTTATCTTCCCTTTGCCTAATTTACTCACGAATTTTTCTATACTGTTGTGTATTTTATGTACTTTTTATGTACTTGTATAATGTACCTTAAATACTCTCGGGACAAAGTGGTGTGTGTGTGTGGTGTGTGTATATGTATATATACATACACACCACACACACACACATACAAATTATATAGAAAGAAATATATATATTTCCTCCCAGAAAATGTAAATATTTAAAGAAGACTAAGTTGAGATGGCAATGGTAACAGCATGAGGATGAGTCTGAAATGGTGAAATCTGAGTGGGAGACTTGGGTAGGTGTAAGGCTTCCGGGTTTCCCCCAGATATGGGAAAAAGCAGCCTTGGTGTTTGGGCCCTTCAACACCATGAGAGCTATTCCTGTAACCTGAGAGAGTCTAGACCATGATGATAGCTGAGGCATGATGAGAAGTGGTCAGATTATGGCTCTGGTTTGGAGGTAGAGCCTGGCAGGTTCTCTGATTCTGTGTGGAATGGAGAGCAAAAGAGAAGAGGCAAAGAAAACTGGGGGTTTTTTGCTTGAACAGCAGAAATGATGGAGTTGTCATTAAATGAGATGTGGAAGAGTGAAGAAGGAGAGCTTTAGGAAGGGGGAGATGAGGAGATTGATTTTTGGATGTATTAAGTTTCACATACCTGTTAGATATCCAAGACAAATAGGTCAAATTAGGTAAATGGATAGGTAAATGAATCTCGACTTCAGAAGAGAGATGTTGGTGAGGTGCATGAGGACTTGAAAGTCCTCAACATGTAGATGCTGTTTAAGCCACAAGACTGGTTGAAAGCACTATGGGAGTGAGTAGAGATAAAACATGGGAGCACATGGTCTGAGACCTGTGAAGTCCAACATTAAGAAATCAGGAAAATGAGCAAGAGCCAATAAAGAAAACTGAAAAGAAGCAGTCAGTGTGGTAGGCAGAGAAGCAGGAGAACATGGAGACCTGGAATCTAGGTGAAGAAAATATTTATAGGAGGATGAAGTGACCAACCCTATTAAATGCGGCTCATAGGTCAAGCAAGATGAGGGTCAAGAATTGATCATGTAGCAGGAGGGAGGTCATTGATGACTTTGAAAAGATAATTTTTGGGGGGTAGAGAGCTCATGCATGATTAGAGTGGGTCCAAGAGAGCATACTGGGTTCAAGAGAATAGCTGGCAGCTACTCTTTTGATGACAATTTCTATAAAAGGAAGCAGAGAATGGAGGGGCAGCTGGATAGGTGGAGAGTGCTTTTACCCATGGAAGAAATGACAGCATATCCTATATGCTTATGAGGAAGTCCTTTTGAGAAGGAAAAAAAAAATGATGTAGGAGAAGACAAAAAAAATACCTAGAATGATTTCTCGAGGACACAAGAAGAGAGTAACAAGAAAGCAGGCTGAGTACATAGGCTCTGAGGCTGGTAGGTGGGTTGACTGGGTGGTGGTATCTCATAGAAGTTCTCTTCTATTCCTTCTGTATTCTCAGTGGAAATCAGAAGCAAGGTCATCAGCTGTTAGTGAGGATGGGAAGGAGGTGTTGAAAGTTGGATGAGAAAGAGGATATCCAGGACAGCAGAAGGGTAAATAGACCGAGGGATGCGTCAGAGGGGTCAGAGAGCATTATGCATCTGCTTGAGATGCATGCTAATAAATTTAAAGTGAGACCATCTCCATGGTTGGGTGTTTTTCCTGCAGCCATGTTCAGCTGTGCAGATGGGGTTTTCCAAGGGCATATGATGAAAAAGAGAAGCCAAGAAGCTGAGAGTTTAGGGAAAGGGGTGATTATAATGGTGGGCCTCAGAGTTTAAACTGAGCAAAGAGAAAAATGAGCACTAGAGCCAGGAAAATGATCCATGAGTAAAATGAGGAGGTGGAGGGACAGTGGAAAATGGGTAGGATTGATGAATCGTGCAAACAGAGGGACCAAAAGATTGTTGGAATAAAAGCAGTAGAGACAGTAAGATTAAAGGATAGAAAGTTGTAGTTAGAAAGGGAAATGCTTGAAATTGAGGTTTGGGGCATTGGGTGTTGGGTAGTGACAAGTCTAAGGTGTGTCCATTGGCAGAGGGTGGCTGAGGTTGTGTTGAAGACAAGATAAGTTGAGAGGTGGAGGTCAAGAAACTGAGAGATAAAGTGCAGGGAAGGATGATCTTCGGGGTCACTGAAATCACTAAAAAGTGTAACAAAACTAATATTGAGGGTGCCTGGGGTGGCTCAGTCAGTTAAGTGGCCGACTCTTGATTTCAGCTCAGGTCATGATCTCAGGGTCCTGGGATCCAGCCCATCTCAGGCTCTGCACTCAGTGGGAAGTCGGCTTCTCCCTCTCCCTCTCCCCACTCCCCCAGTTCGTGCACACACTCTCTCTCATATAAATAAATAAAATCTTAAAAAGAAAAAAGAAAAACTAATATTGAAGAGAGAGACAGTGAGCCAGAGTTAAAATTTTCAAAGCATGAGAATTACTAGGGGTGGTTAAGTGATTGTAACGTGGGGGCCTGTTGATGTGGGATTCAGAGTGGTGGACAGACACTGGGGAAGGGCTGGAAGAAGGATTTCTTGGTTCCTGTTGAATGAAAGTGTGGAGACCAGGGAAGGGACAGTAGTAAATGAATTAAAGGTAGTAGCAACTAATTGTGCCACCTTTCACTGTATTTCAAAGATATTGAAGGCTATTGATGCCTGAGTTTTTCTGACTCTCCTGAATGATGATTTGGGAGGTGAGGGTGGTCTTTGTTCACCATAAATCTAAGGGAATGGGACATTTGCTTAATTGATGGCTTTAATCTTGTTATCATTTACTTATATTTGAAAGACTCTGGAGGTTCATTATCAGAGATAATCTGACCTTAGTTTTTTTGAGAATGTGCTTTATGGTAAACAATTATTCACTATTTATTATTGAAAGAAATTACCTATAAATATAAACTAAGAAATAGACTAGGGGCACCTGAGTGGTGCAGTTGGTTAAGCATCTGACTCTTGGTTTCAGCTCAGGTCCATGATCTCAGGGTCGTGAGATGGAGCCCTCATTGGACTCTGCACTCAGCACAGAGTCTGTTTGAGATTCTCTCTGCCTCTCCCGCTTGTGCTCTCTCTTCTTCTCTAAAATAAGTAAATCTTTAAAAAAAATTTTTTTAAAAAATAGAGTAATCTAAGAAAATATTAATTAGGAAGTATAGTGAAAAATCATAGATCAACTATCTCATAGTATCTATGTCAGAAAAATAATTTAGTCAAATGTACATAGAAAACTCAAGCAAAAGCGCTTAAAACTAAAAAAAAAAAAATCAGGTGTCTATTAAGTCCCACATGTAAATGCGTCTCCAGAGGGAGGACTGCAGTTTTTTAAAACCCCAGTGTCTGTGTGTGTGTGTTTGTGTGTGTGTGTGTGTGCACGCGCGCGTGCACGCACGTGCACTCTGTAGGTATTTTGGTGAACTTTCAAACAAAACTTTGATTCAAGGGTAGCAAGTCCTGATTTGAGCTTCACATTTTTCTGAGAGCCTGAACACTTGTGATAAGACGTTGTGTGAAAAATAGGAGGAAACAAAGAAACTCATGGGGTTGACCGACTTCATTCAGAACAGGTAACAAAGCTTGGTTGAATAAGCATTTTTTGAGAACTTTTCTGAGCTGCCTCTGTTAGCCAGAGGAGATGAAGAACATCATAGAAAGGAATAATGCACCAGCCTTAGATAATCTGTCAGGCTCTGCAGACCCCAGCTACCAAATCCAGGTGGAGCCGGGTTTACCGCTTCGGGCTTAGGTTGTCAGCTCAGTTATAGCCCATGTTCAACTAAGGCTTTGGAGATTAAGTATTGAATGTACTAAGCAGAGCACCTGGGTGACTCAGTCGGTTAAGCATCTGCCTTCTGCTCAGGTCGTGATCTTGGGGTCCTGGGATTGAGCCCCGCATTGGGCTCCCTGCTCAGCGGGGAGTCTGCTTCTCCCTCTCTCTGCCCTGCTCATGCTCTCTCTCTCAAATAAATAAAATCTTAAAAAAAAAAATAAATGTACCAAGCAGTCACACCATTACAGATGTCTTTTACTGAAATACTCGAAAGGTCATAATTAAAGCTAACAATCCTGATGTTCTGCCCTACCAGATAAGGACAGACTGGGACCTTCTTGACCTGCCAAGCTTCCTTTTGGTAACTAAGAGCATGTGTACATGGGAACAGAAAGGTGAAATAACTTGAGGATACACTGAAGATACCTCTGAAGGAACATGGCTCTGCCAACTAGCAAAATGGCGGGTGGGTGGATGGGAGATTAAGTGCCCACTGCTATCAAGCCCCAAAGTCAAAGAAACTTATGGGAAAAAAGTAAATCTACCAAAGAGTGACTGAAAATCATCTACTGGGATATGGGATCATCTTCTGAGACAGAAAGAGTAGTGTTCATTTATTCATTTGTTCATTCATTCATTCATTCTCAGCAAACATTTAGGAAGTGAGGCCTTTTGCTGGTTACAGGGGATACCAAGATGAAAGCAGCAAGGATTCTGCTCTCAGATTGTTCCCACAGTAGTAGGAGTTCAGCATGTGGAAACAAACACTACATTTAGCACATACCGTAATGGAGAAAACAAGATGAACCAAGTGGGAGGACAGTCTCCTGAAGAACTTGGGACAACTTCACAGGGAATGTGCTGCTTGAGTTGAGACTTGAAGTCATCAAATGAAGAGAGGGTGAAGGATTCCAGACAGAGGGAGCAGCGTGAGCCTGGGAGACTACATGGAACAGGAGGTGCTTGGGGAAACTCTAGGGTATGTGTAGAATATTGCGAACACAAGGTGTCTGTGAACCTCAAGGAATACGCCTGGAAGGAAAGCCGGGCCTGATCATGAGAGCCCTTGTTTGACTTGCTAAGTCATTTAGCTTGCATCCTCTAGGTCTCTGGTGTTCCTTCAAGTCCTGAGGTCCCCAGGTCCCAAGGGAACACTCAGGGGTGAGGCTCAGGGCTTACCCACCTCACCCTGCCCTCTTCTTTCTATTGCCACAGCTTCTGTCAAAGGAGCTCAACTTTTTCTAAACATAAATGTAAATATAAAAATTTTAAATGTAAATTTTGATGTAAAATTTTTAGAGTAAATTTTTTAATATAAATATATTTTTGATACAATATGTAATAAATGACTTTGTCTTTCAGAGTAGTTTTAGGTTCACTGTGAAATTAAGCAGAATGGATAGATCGTTCCCTTACCCCACATACACACAGCTTCCCCAACAACCGACATCCCACACCCTAGCAGCACATTTGTTACAGTCCTACACTGACACATCATTATCACCCAAACTATGGTTTACATTAGGTGTATGTGTATCTCCTGGTGTCGTATGTTCTGTGGGTTTGGACAAATGTGTAATGACGTGTAGTC